CAGCATGGAGTTCTTGAGCCCTGTGCAGTTGGCAAAGCCAAAATCTGTTTTTGTTTTTTTTTTTACTTCTGAGTATGGAGAATGCAAGAGGCCCCAAATCTGCATAAGACATGCGGGGAGGCAGCAGTAAGGGCAGGGGTCTCAGGAGAGGCGCTCAGGAGGGTGTGGGTCTACAGGGGTGGCTGCAGGGCATGGGGCACCGTGTGTGGGGCTGTGGGCTCACCAGTCAGCTTTAGAAAGCCTTGTTCATCCAGCAGGATGTGCTCACACTTCAGGTCCTTGTGTGGAGAAGGAGGTGGGGCTGGCCTGGGCTTGAGTGGGCCTGTTCATGCATGTGGGTGGGCCAGGTGGCACCCTCACTCGTACACAATTCCAGTGCTGTGGCAGTGGGCCACAACACTTACGAGCTGCCAGAACAGCCTACGATTCTTCTCCTCTAGCCCTGGGCAGTAGTAGTGGTCCCACACGGTGTTGATGTGCTCCAATAGGTTGCCTCCTGCCACCAGTTTCAGCACCAGGTAGGAGTGCTGGCTGCTATGATAGGCCTTGTACAGCTCCACCTACCATCACCTTGAGGAGGGTCCAAGGATGTGCTGGGACTGCGGGGGTCTTGGGGTGGGATTGGGCCCCAGACTAAGGGCCAAAGGGAGGTCCCAGGTGGGAGAAGGCTAACCTTAGGGGATAGGGAGGGGTGAGGACAGGCTGTATTGAGGCTGCAGCCTACTACATTTGGGTGCTTGCAGGTAGCATTGAATGAAGAGATCTCATAGGGCAGGAATTTGTGGGAGAACTCCATGGGGGCCTTGGCTGTGGAGATGATTTTTTTTTTTTTTTTTTTTTGAGACAGAGTCTCGCTTTGTTGCCCAGGCTAGAGTGAGTGCCATGGCATCAGCCTAACTCACAGCAACTTCAAACTCGTGGGCTCAAGCAATCCTGCTGCCTCAGCCTCCTGAATAGCTGGGACTACAGGCATGCGCCACCATGCCCGGCTAATTTTTTCTATATATATTAGTTGGCCAATTAATTTCTTTCTATTTATAGTAGAGACGGGGTCTCGCTCTTGCTCAGGCTGGTTTCGAACTCCTGACCTTGAGCAATCTGCCCACCTCGACCTCCCAGAGTGCTAGGATTATAGGCGTGAGCACCGCGACCGGCCTGGAGATAATCTTGATAGCCATCTGTGTGGGCAGAAGGTGCCAGTGTGTGCAGACACAGCCCCCTGCCCTTTGTATTCATTGCTGAGCTCTTGAAGGGCATCCCTGATCTCCCCCACCCTCCTGTCCCGAGAACTTGAGGGGTTTGTGAACTGGGAGTGGGACCTGAGAAGGAGCCCATGGTGGAGGCAGCGGGAGTGGCTGGAAGGTACCTGAGTAGGTTTAGGACAGGGGGGCCCTGTGGGGCCGAGCTGGGGGCACTGGAACCCACTAGGAGGGGGAAGGAGGCAGCTGCCTCACTGTGGTGTTGTACTTGCCCCGCAAGCCCCAGGACAGCTTGGGGTTGTGCTGCATGCATTTGTGTATGCCATAGGCCAGGTAGACTTTGGAGAAGGCCCCACAGCTGATCTTGGAAGAGAGCAGGTACCTGTTTCCTTGCACTCATGCACCTGTTCCATGAAGGTTCTCTGGTCCAACTTTGGCCTGCTGCTGCCCTTCATGGAGGGCAGGGCACCATGGAAGGGGGCTTAGTGGTCCAGCTCCAAGTCTTGGATTGGGGGGGGCATAGTTTAGGCCTGACTTGTACCAGAGGGTAGGGGATGGGGCAGCAGGAGGCCAGGTGGGACCTGTACCACCCTTGGGGCAGCAGCCAAGTTTCTGAAGACTTGCTAGGACTGGAGTAGAGGGAGGGGAGTGACTGGGCCTGAGAGCTCTGAGTGGGGGACTGACACAATTCAGGGTGGGAAGCTAACACAGTTTGGGATGGGGGCTGACACATCCTGTACTGGGTGTGTGGGGGCAGGCACTGGGGAAAAAAGAGGCAAATTCTAGAATGGGGATTCTAGAGCTGTACCTGCATTGTGCCCTTGAAGGGGGTGTCCTCTTGTGCCCCAGGACCTGCCCACTCTGATGTCTGAGGACATCTTTCAGGACCAGCACTGTCTTGCATGGGGCCCACTCTCTATGGGATGAAAACCCCCTGCAAGGGCTGCAGCCAGGGTGAGGCCTCTGAGGACCACTCAGGATGGAGCTGGAACACAAAAGGCCTTGAAAGAAACTGAGGAGGGGGCAGGGGGCAAAGGCAGAAGGCCAACTTGCTAAGCCATGAGGAAGGGGAAAAGGGATATAGTACCCCTCATCCTCGGATAGAGTGCCCAGGCCTCTACTAGAGGCTGAGCCAGAAGGGCAGGCAGGGAGCCTCCTGCCTTCTGGCCTCCCTCACTAGAGCCTGAAGCTTCTCCTGTCCAGGTGGGGCCTGCTGCAGGGAGCCTCCCACCAAGAGTTCTCTGCAGACTTGATCACACACCACAAGGCAAGCAAGGGCCCCAGGCTTGGGCCCACCTTAGATTCTACAGCTCTGAGAGACAGAAGCCAACAGTGCCCCTCCCTTCTCTGGCCCTTAGAGTCCTCTGAGAACACTGTTGCTGCCAGGAGAAGGAGCTAACATCGACTGAGCACAGGCTGTGTGCCAGGCACCATTCTAAGCAGTCACACTAGCTACAACTTCCACCTGTAGCAGTCCTGCCCCTGTTCATAGAACACACCGAGGTGCCCATCCCACGTGGGGCATTCATATCCGGCTTTCAAGTCTGAAGACAACTGAGCAATACTGTTTTACAGATGATGAAATTGAGGCCTAGTGGTGGCAGAGCCTAGGCCCAAATGTGTGGTCTCTGCTGTGAGCTGGAAAGCACAGTAGCTGTTGGCCTGGAGGGTGGTACTGTCTAATGGGCAGCTGTCCTGGGAGTGTCTACAAGGGCCTGGAGCTTGGTAAAGGCCCAATGAGTGTCTGGGGACTTAGATTCTCCTCCGCTGAGATCCAGGGGCAGATGTGGTATGCTCGCTGTAATGAAGGCCTCAGAATAGGATGACTTCAACTGGCAAGACCATTTTCTCAACCCTGCTGGACTGTGGGCTTCTTGAGAGCAAGGCTTTGTTTGATATTCCTTCCCACCCACAGCCCTTGTCTGGCAAATTGCCTGGAATATAGAAAATAAGAACAAACTAACTGGTTTGTGGCTGACTTGGGAATTAGGAAAAGAGAAACTGCTTCAAATAATTCAAGCAGAGGCGGGTTAATTTGGGATTGGTTCTGCAAACATTAGAAGGGCTGGAGAAGCACAAAGCACAAGGTGAAGCCTATTGAAGGTGGGTGGCTGAAGGGAATTGCGTCTCTACAGCTGGAGCCAGGTGATCCTGGCCACGGGGGCTGTGTCACGAGGCGCTGCTGTCAAGCCTGGGAGCCCACAACCCCCAGCTGTATCCCTTCTCTCCCTTCCAGCTCCCACCAGGACGAGAACCCAGCTGGAAGCCAGAGAGTGTTAGACTGAGTGAAGGCAGGTGGGGTCCGAGTGGTCATTGACTCTGTCCACCCTCCCTCTGCAGAGTCTTTATTATTCTCTTCTTTGTGGTCCCTAATTCATCGAAGGAGCTGCACTGGGCAACCACCTTGTGCCGTGCTTTGTGCTAAGCTCTTAGGAGCAAAACAGACCCAGGCCTTTTCCTCAGAGTTTACTGCTTTGGCAGAGAGATTGGCATTAATAATGTAATAAAAGAAAAATGAAATTTTGATGTTTGTTGGGCAACTTGTATGTCTGGGGAGTGAAGAGATGGCTACTGTGGCTGGAAGTCCAGCTGAGGCTGGGAGGAGGACAGGGCATTGGCCCAGGGGAGCCACTACATGAGTCGTCCAGGTGTGAGCTGGGAAGAGGCCTCTCCTGCTTCCCTGGCAACTGGCCCTGTTAGTAGCTCCTGTCTATGGGGATGGGGCAGCTTCCTGGCAGTGTTCCTGGGCCAGGCCCCCATCTGCAGAAAGTCTCACTCTGTGTCCTGCCCCTATTGGGATCCATCTCCTTAAAAGAAACAGGCTCAAGTCCCTCTCTGTAGAAAAATGAGCATCCTCCCCTTGCACCACCAGTGCCCTGCCCCCTTTGCCTCCCAGGACCTCCTGCAGCTGGATTTCCACATCTAACCGACCGACACGGCCCTGGAGGCGGCGCTGCAGACCACTTCCTGGACTTTATGAACACCATCATTTCGGTTTGATGTGCACACATTCAGGTGCTTTCCGCCTCCCAGCCTGGTCCTTCCCAGCACCTTCCGTGAGCTTTGTCTTATTAGCCATTTACTTTTTACCTGCCACGCTCCAATTTCTAAGGTCTCGGTGCGAGGCCTGGTGGCCTGGGTGACTGTGGTCTGTCAGTAGACTGGACGTGTACATGCCGCACACATGCGTGTGCCTGCGCCTGAGGGTCCGCGCCCTGGCTCTATGGGGTGTCCGCCGGGTGTTCAGTGTGTGTGCGTGAGAGATAGGACACTACGATACGCCGGTGTGTGCCCAGGTCAGGCACTACCTGACGTGTAGCCCTGGACAGGTATGTGTTAGCGAGTGCACCCACTTGCTCCGTGCGCTTTGGGGTACGACGACCCTCGAGCTAGAGTCCCCCGGGATCGCAGGGGCGCGTGCGTCCGAAGCGGAAGCGGAGCTGGAGCCGGCGCCTGCGCAGTGGCCCGCCTCGCTCGCCTCCAACAGCCAGGTGCCCTGCCCGAAAGGCGGCCGGGGGCAGGGCCGATCGTGAGGCGGAGACTGCGCACTCTTGCTCGCTTGGGAACGGTGAGCGGGGTGGAGCGACCGAGAGGAACACGCCTACGACCAATGAGCGCAGAGATCGCGTAGGGGCGTGGCCTGACTGCCGCGCGCGAGGTCGCGGTAGGCCTGAGGGCAGCGGGGGCGGGCTCAGCTCATGCGGCTCCGCCCACTCCGGGCCGCGGGCGGCTGTGGCTGCAGCGGCTGCGGCACCTCAGGTAAACGGCGGGTGGGGACGCGCTTTTGGGGTGCCCTGCGGGAAAGTCTGGGCGGGAGGGCCTAGGGGCCATCCCCTTGGCCCGGCCGCTCGGGAAGCAGAATCAGGAGGCGCCTCCCAAGGTCGCCGGGCGAGCGCCGGGAGGGTCCTGGGCGTCGCGGGGGCCGCGGTCCGCCCCCTTCCCAGCTGAAGCGCCCTGGAGCCAGCTGAGCTGCGTCACGATCCGGAAGGGAGACCCAGAGCTTCGCGGCTCTCATTCCTCCTCAGCGCCAGGGCGTGGTCGCCGGCCCCGTGACTGCCTCCTCTCCGGGGAACGCTGTAGTCTGAGTCCGGTGCCTGCCTCCTCCTCCCCAGGGGGTGCGGTGGTCCCGAACCGGTGCCTGTCTCCTCCCCGCCAGGGGAGCGCAGTGGTCCCGAGCCGTGCCTGTCCACTACAGTCAGGGAGCCTGGTGATCCTGGCCTGTGCCTGACCCCCCGGAGAGCGCGGTGGTCCCACCCGACCACCAGGCTTCCTCTCTGGGAAGCTAAGCCTAAACCCTGAGAATTCCAAGCCGGTGTGCGCCAGGGCCACTGTATTTCTGTATCCTCTTTGACATTTAAAGGAGTCACGGGGATTACTGGTCACAGCCTATGTCATAAAGCTGGAAGGGCCTGGGAGTCCAGCCTCCAGTCAAGGTGAGACCTAGGTGGCGCTCAGCCGGGGCAGCCCGCTGATGTGGGTTCCAGTTTTCCTGCGGTGTTAAGTGCAGTGTCGGGGTCATAGGAGGCTGCTGTGGGGACATAGGGGGCTCGTTCTACCTCTACCCTTACAGAGGTTCCCTTTGCCGGCTCAGGTGAGGAGGGGACAGACCCATAAATTCAAGTGCAGTGAGGTAAGCACAGGGGTATGTGAGGGGGCTAGGGACCCGTGTGGGGAGCAGGAGCAGTGGCTCGGCCTGGGGAGGTAAGCTGGAGAGGCGGTTGGTGGCAGCAGCCGGTGGCTGGGTGGAGGCTGGCATTGAGGGGACAGTCCTGGAGGCACGCACCACTGTGGAGGGGATGGTGGTAAATGAGTGGGCTGTAGGGTGTGGGAGAGAGATGCTGATTGCTGACCCAGATAGCCCAGGTGAGATTGGGTGATACAGGTGAGATTGGGGCTGGTGGCAGGTCAGGGGTGAAGATGAGTTGAGTTTTAGAGCTGTTGGATTCGAGTGGCAATGACTGTCTGAATGGAGATGCTGGGGAGGCCAGGGCTGGAGACACCTGGGAATCATTGTTTGTGGGATATTTTATCCATGGCATATGTTGGTGACATGGTTGCATGTACAATCCCGGCGCCCTGTGGGCCTGGCGATGCTGTGTCATCTGGATCTTATTCTTAGGCGTTAGGCTATCATGGCCCATGTTAGCAGGTGTCTCCAAGTCTCTCTGTGGTGTCAGAGTGGAATGACCCAGGGTTAAGCTGTCTTTGTTAGCTTGAAACTGATGTCCAGCTGCTGTGGCTTGTTCAGACCTGCATCTTGGTATTTCTCATTCCCCTAGAGCTGATTGCTGCCTGCTGAGGGATGTCAGTGGGTTAGAGGTGGAACCTGTGGATCATATGCTTGCTTCAGTTTGTGATTGTCCCAGGTGTCAGAAAACAGGTGTTTCTGCTTATTTTCTTTCCCAGGGTCCACAGTGGCCCTTGTTAGAAGCAAGGTTGCTGCTGTCTGTGATCAGCACTCTGCCTTGAAACCCCCTTTCACTGAGCTGAGTTACTCTGTGCCAGCTCACGCAGCTTGATCAGGTGGGAGCACTAGGCGAGCTCCTGGCTAGTGCTCAGAACCGTGCTTTCTTGACTGAGTTGGAGGGGCCACCTGGTTTTGGGGGTTTGCATGTGCACCCAGTGACACAGCTTGGGGTGGCTTATGTTGGGAAATAATGTTCTCAGTGGACCATGAGCAGTGAGCTGCAGAGCTGCATGACCCTTGGTCACCAGGGTCAGGTTGGTGACTCAGGAAGTTGATTTTGTGGTTCCTGTGTTAGGAGGCAAAGTCCCTTGGACCCCGTGCATGGGTGAGGCATTCCATGATCTTCCAGTCTCCCTGCACATTCCCGACCCTGCAGGCTGGCTCATCTGGGTGTTGCATGTGTGGCCAGCACAATTCTCAGCTCCCATCTAACTCCCTTCAGACTCATGCAGGTAGCCCAGCACCTATGTCATGCCTTTATGTGTGGCAGCTGTAATACTTGTGTGCATCATTTTGTGGCTGGAGAGAGTCTCCAAGCCAGGGACTCTATGGACCTACAGCAGTGGCCAGCAAGTGTTTACTAAATATGGTTGAATGAAGAGGAAGCAGTGTCTTCATTCACACAAAAATGTGTACTACCTACCATGTTTCCCTGAAAATAAGACCTACCCATAAAATAAGCCCTAGCAGTATTTCTAAGCATTTGTGCAATATAAGCCCTACCCCAGAAAGAAGACCTAGTGATGGACATGGCTACGCAGCTTATCTGCACAACCCGTGCATTTCATCACAGAGCAGTAAAGAAGACGAGCAGCCCTTCTCATCTGCCCCATGAGAGCTCTGTTGCTCTCTGGGGCCAATGATTCTAAAGGAAATAGAGTTGCAAGAAATTCAGGATGGAATTCGGGGTTTGGAGAGTTATGATGTTCCAGAAGACGACGACTTAACTATATTTGAATAAATGTAGATTGTTGTACTGTACTTAAAAAAAATAACACATCCCCTGAAAATAAGCCCTAGGGTGTCTTCTTGAGGAAAAATAAATATAAGACCCTGTCTTATTTTCAGGGAAACATGGTATGTATAGAGAGAAAACCTCATTAGCCCTATCTGCCACCTCCTTCCATTAGGTTTTTTGTTGTTAATTTAACTAGACACCTAAATTGGCATTTGTGTTTTTTCTAACATCCATGTACATAAATGTCTGTGCATTAGTGTGAGAGTGTCAGTAGACAGATATGGAAAAATGGGTGTTTGACCATTCAGGCTCTGCCAGCCAACACCCACACCTGAGGCAGTCCCTGAGTTGGGCTGCATGCCCAGCCTTGCTCAAATGTTTCACTTGTGTTGTTTTTGTCTGATAGCCTATGACTAGAGGTGCTGGTCATCAGTGATCATGACCATGTATAGATGGTGGAACGGGGCACAGGGAGTTTCCACACCTGCTCATGGCTACGCAGTAAGCATGCACAAGGAGAAGCTGGGTGTCTGGCTCCAGCACTGGGTACTATACTACCTTCAGCCCTGGAAGGGCAGCAGGAACCCACCCACTAATCCTAGAGTGGTCAGCATAGTCCTTACATATCTGTTGGCTGTCTCTTCTGAGACATCATCCTTTGATCTTTTGCCTGTTTATCTTAGTGATGTACAGAAGCCCATTTGCATACAGTAGTCCTCCTTTATCCTTGGGGTATACTTTTCAAGATCTGTAGTGGATGCCTGAGACCACAGATGGTGCTAAACCCCATGTATACTATGTTTTTCCTATATATACATATCTATGATAAAGTTTAATTTATAAATTAGGCACAGTGAGAGAGTAACAACAAGTAAAAAAGAACAATCATGACAATACTAAAGACAGTGTACAATTTAAAACTTTTGGATTCATCATTTCTAGAATTTTGCATTTAATATTTTTGGACTGCAGTTGACTGAGAGTAACTGAAGCCATGGAGAGTGAAACAGAGGATGAGAGGGACCAATGTATTCATATTAGGCAAATTTATCTTATATAGTATGTCTTATATAGTATGAATGATTTGTCCTGCCTTTCATTTTCTAAAATTATTTATTATTAATTTTTTTATTTTCCTAGGAGACAGAGTCTCACTCTGTTGCCTGGGCTAGAGTGTTGTGGCATTAGCCCAGCTCACAGCAACCTCAAACTCCTGGGCTCAAGTGATCCTCCTGTTTCAGCCTCCCGAGTAGCTGGGACTACAGGCGCTCACCACCATGCCCCGCTAATTTTTTCTATTTTTAGTAGAAATGGGGTCTCACTCCTACTCAGGCTGGTCTTGAACTCCTGACCTTAAGCGATCCTCCTGCCTCGGCCTCCCAGAGTGTTAGGATTATAGGCATGAACCACTGTGCCCAGCCAAAATTATTTACTTTTTTAAATTGAAAAGTAAAATTATATATATATATATATGTATGTGTGTGTGTGTACAGCATAATATTTTGAAATATGTATACTATGTGGAATGGCTAAATCAAACTAATTGAATATGTATAGTCTTACATACTTATTTGTAGTAAGAACACTTAAAATCTACTTGCTTGGCCGAGGTCAGCGGCTCATGCCTGTAATCGCAGCACGTTGGGAGGCTGATGCAGGAGGATCACTTGAAGACAGGAGTTGGAGACCAGCCTGGACAACATAACGAGACCCCATCTCTAAAAAAAAAAAAAAAATCAGCTGTGGTGTTACGCGCCTGTCGTTTCAGCTACTCAAGTAGGCTGAGATGGGAGGATCCCTTGAGCCCAGGAGTTTGAGGTCACAGTGAGCTGTGATTGTACCACTGCACTCCAGCCTAGGCAACAGAGTGAGACCCTATCTCAAAAAAAAAAAAAAAAAAAGTTATTCAGGAATTTTCAAGTATACAAACATTGTTATTGACTATAGTCACCACATTGTATAATAGATCTCTTGGCTTTGTTCCTCCTGTCTAACTGAAACATTGTACCCTTTAATTAACATCACCCTAATCTTCTTTGCCCTGCCCAGTCCCTGGTAACCACCATTCTACACTCTGGTTCTGTAAATTCAGCTTTTTTAAAGTTCTACATGTAAGTTAGATCGTGCAGAATTTGTCTTTCTGTGCCTGGCTTATTTTACTTAACATAATGTCCTCTAGGTTCATCCAGGTTGTCACAAATGACAGGATTTCCTTCTTTCTAAAGGCTGAATAGTAGTCCATTGTGTGTGTGTGTGTGTGTGTGTGTGTATGTATACCACATTTTCTTTATCCATCTATCCATTGATGGACACTTAGGTTCCACGTCTTGGCTATTGTGAAGAGTGCTACAATGAGCATGGGAGTGCAGACAACTCTTTGACACAGATTTCTTCCCTTTGGAAATATACCCAGGGTTGCTGGGTCATGTGGTACTTCTATTTTTATTTTTTGAGGAACCTTCATGCTATTTTCCATGCAAATTTATATTCCCACCAACAGTGCACAAATGTTCCTTTTCTTCACATCCTCAACACTTTTTATGCTTTGTGTTTTGACAATAGCCATTCTCACAGGCATGAGGTGATATCTCACTGTGGTTTTATTGATTTGCATTTCTCTGATGATTAGTGATATTTAGCATTTCTTCATATAACTGTTGGCCATTTGTATGTTTTCTTTGAGAAATGTCTGTTCAAGTCCTTTGGCCATTTCTTTTCTTTATTTTATTTTATTTTTTTTTTTTGAGACAGAGTCTCACTTTGTTGCCCAGGCTAGACTGAGTGCCATGGCATCAGCGTAGCTCACAGCAACCTCAAACTCCTGGGCTCAAGTGATCCTCCTGCCTCAGCCTCCCGAGTAGCTGGGACTACAGGCATGCACCACCATGCCCGGCTAATTTTCTCTATGTAGATTAGTTGGCCAATTAATTTCTTTTTTATTTATAGTAGAGACGAGGTCTTGCTCTTGCTCAGGCTGGTTTTAGACTCCTGACCATGAGCAATCTGCC